CTCTCTCTCCTTCCTTCTTGTTGTCTCCTCCTCTCACAACTTCTTTGTCTCTACGTCCCACTTCCTCTTACCATTATTGTTCTTCTACTCTCCTGTCTTGTATTCTCTCCTTTCCTCCTCCTCTCCTCTCCTCTCCTCTTCTCTCCTCTCCTCTCCTCTCCTCTCCTCTCCTCTCGGTGCAACATCATCTTGTACATTATTCGATATTATTTTCTAGCTACACGTGTACGGCAACGAGCATCAAGAATCAGAAATCAAGCAGCAGCCTCTTCCCCTCCCTCCTCCTCTCCCCCTCGTCGTCGAAGTTTGGCATCGGAATACCTCCTTGGCCTCCTCCTCCTCCTCCCCTCCCTTTCCTGCTCCTGCCTCCCCTCCTCCTCCCTTGCCCTGCTGAGTTCGCTCTCTCTCCACTCGCTCCAGCTCCTTGGGAAGCCTCTCACCTGCACGTGTTTCATCCTCTTTCCTCCCCGTGTCCCTCGCGTTCGTCGCCTCCTACCTCTCCTCTCTTCCCCTCGAGCATATCCCTCCCCAACATTCCCCTCCTCTCCCTCCCTCCTCCTCCTCCTCTCCTGCCTCCCCCTCCTCTCCTCTCCTCCCTCCTCTCCTCCCTTACCCGTCGGGATCCTCCTGCCGTCCAGCACAGGATGCTTCAGAGGAGTTTTAGCGCTTTCTGACAGCTCGGACAAGATGCTCTTCTGACTGTTTGTGGTCCTGGCGGAGGGTGAGAGGAGGAGGAGGAGGAGGAGGAGGAGGAGGAGGAGGTGGTGGTGGTGGAGGAGGAGGACAGAGAGAGAGGGAGGGAGAGGGAGAGAGGGAGAGGGAGAGGGAGAGAGTTGCCTGTTTGTCTTCCTGCTGCTGTTGTGAACCCTGCCGATATAGAAATCAGGTGAGGAGTGAAGCGAACAGAGCAGCTGAGAGGAGGAGAGCAAAGGGAAGGGAGGAGGAACGAGGAGGAACGAGGAGGAGAGCGAGAGAGCTGGAGAGGACCTCGACGATTTCGATTCGTTGAGAGAATCATTCGTGTCACTGATAGAGCCATTCAGTCACACGTCAGCATAGCAAGGAAGGAGAAGGAGAGAGGAAGGGGAGGGAGGACTAGGAACAAGGCAGGGGAGCAGGAGGTAGAAGAAGAGCAGGAGGAAGAGGGGGCAGAGGAGGAATCCGCGGAAAAGATAGAGGAGGGGGATGCAAAGCAAGATGTCTAGGAGGAGGCAGAGGAGGAGGCAGAGGAAGGAAAAGGAGGAGGCAGAGGAGGAGGCAGGAGAGGAGGCAGAGGAAGGAAAAGGAGGAGGCAGAGGAGGAGGAGGAGAATACTTCAATCTCCTCGATCGGTCAAGATGCTTGCTGGGGGTTGCTAGTCTCAACGGTCAGTCAATCTCGTTGCGAGCGAGTGGGAGGTACCAGCGACGCTCTTGGCGGGGAGGAAGAACCCTGCGTGCTCCCCCGATCCCTCGTCTTCTTCTTGCTCGTCAACAAGCTCGAGGAGGAGGCCGTCTCTAGCATCCGCTGCAATTCATGTCAGCTTCTCCTCCTCCTCGACCTCCTCGACCTCCTCGACCTCCTCCTCCTCCTCCTCCTCCTCCTGTCGTCCTGCTCGTGCTCGTGCTCGTGCTCGTGCTCGTGCTCGTGCTCGTGCTCGTGCTCCTCCCTATCCCACCACCACCTCCTCCTCCTCCCCTGTGTCCTCTTTCGCCCCCCCGACCCCCAGATATTGCTGCACTCTCCTCCTTCCCGCCTCTTCTCTCCCCCACCTGCTCCATCAGCTCCGTCAAGGCCTTTCGTTGAAGAGGAGGAAGCGTCGGGTCCTCGATGATGTGCTTCAGCGCATGCTCCCTCTCCTGTGCCTCCACCTGCAGAGAGAGAAGAAGAGGACGAGAGAGAGAGGGAAAGGAGGAGGAGGAGAAGGAGGAGGAGGAGGAGGAGGAGGAGGAGGAGGAGGAGGTGGTGGTGGTGGTGGTGGTGGTGGTGGTGGTGGTGGTGGTGGAGGAGGAGGAGGAGGAGGAGGAGAAAAAGAAGAGAGAGAAAGCGAGAGAGGAGGAAGAAAACATTTGAGGATGAAAAGGGGAGATGAGATGAGACGAGACGAGACGAGACGAGACGAGACGAGACGAGACGAGATGAGATGAGATGAGATGAGATGAGATGAGATGAGATGAGATGAGATGAGATGAGATGAGATGAGATGAGATGAGATGAGATGAGATGAGATGAGATGAGATGAGATGAGATGAGATGAGATGAGATGGCAGGCAATCACAGGGCAAGAAGATTGTAGAGAGGAGAAAGAGAGGGAGAGGACGATGAGGAAGAGAAATCAGCTCACCGCCCGTCCCTTCTCTCCTGCATGCATCACCTCATCATGGGGGGCAGGAGACTGATCGAGGAGTGGGACAAGGACAGCCGCGGCAGAGAAGGAGAGGAAGGAAGGGATGGGCATGTTGACGATGTTGCTCCTGTTGTTATCGTCGAAATCGAGGATCTTCCCGACCCCGAGGTAGTCGCGCACGCAGAACCTGATTCGTCCTCCAGTCACAAGTTCTACCCTCCTGCTCCTTCCCTGCCCCTCCCTCTCTCGCTCCTGCTCCTTCTCACTCACTCGCTCCCTGCCTCCTTCCCCCTTCCTGTTCTCTCTACCCCCATCACTTCCTGTTGCTCTCTTCCGCGATCTGACTTCTTTCCCTCCCTGCCTGCCACCCCTGCCTCCTCCTTCTCTCTCCCTCTCCTTCTCTTCTCCGCACCCAACCGCCCGTCCCTCCCCAGCTCCCTTCACCTGCAGAGGTTCCCCGAGCTAGGCCCCTGAGGGTTGGACGGTTCTCGAGCGCCGCCATAGTCGATCGCCACTACCCCCGACGGTGTCGCCGCGTTCCCGAGCTTGTCCACCCTCTGCCCCGCCGCCAGCTTGTGCGGCCACTCCCCTCCCAGCGCCACGTCAGAGTCCACTCGCATGCCCAGCACGTCTCCTCTTTGCGCCTCCACCTGCGGAGCAGCTCAGCTCAGCGGCAGCTCGGGCGGCAGCTGGAGGATCGGACCTGCTCGTGCTCGGGCACATCGAAGGAGAGGAGACCCTTGGTCCTGGCCGTCAGGACGTTCTCTCCTACGAGGCGGTAGGGATGCTTCATGCTTGCCGCCAGCCCCTCCCGCGGCACCTCCCGGTACACCTGCATCCTTACCGTCCCAACTTCGTTGGCCCAGAGCTGGAGGAAACGTGAGGAGACGATGCTGTAGAGGGGGAGACGAGAAGTGTGGAGAGGAATTTGTTGGTGGGGGAGAGTGAGAGAGGAGGAGAGCGGAGGAGGGAGGGAGCAGGGAGCAGGGAGCAGGGAGCAGGGAGGGCATCAACCGGCACAACAGGGTTGCCAATCACGGTGTACTCAGGAAGGACTTTGTCTGTGGGCTGCTCAAACTCAAACTCCTGGATGTCCAGGAGGTAAATCTGAGAAACGTCAGGAGGACGCGGGTAAGGAGGAGGAGGAAGCAACCTTGGAGGACATCTTGCCCTGCTCCCCTCCCCACAGGATGAGCTTCGGGCGAGACAAGTGCGAGGTATCAGTCGGATTGTCCTTGCAGTAAGGAGCCCCGTACAGGAGGAGATCGTGCCCATGAATCTACAGAGGGTGAAGGGTATCAGGCCATCCTCTGGCTGGACTCGTCATCCCGTACAGTCCCTCCTTCATCCCTCGCTTCCTCCCTCCCTCCATCCATCCATCCATCCATCCATCCATCCATCATTCCCTCCCAGCTCCCTCCCTCCCTCCTGTATAAAAGTATCTGAGATGCTTTCCTTGTAGCGCACCCTCAAGATAACCTCTCCTTTTCCCCTGCTGCTGCTGCTGCTGCTGCTGCTGCTGCTGCTGCTGCTGCTGCTGCTGCTGCTGCTGCTGCTGCTGCTGCTGCTGCTGCTGCTGCTGCTGCTGCTGCTGCTGCTGCTGCTGCTGCTGCTGCTGCTGCTGCTGCTGCTGCTGCTGCTGCTGCTGCTGCTGCTGCTGCTGCTTCTGTTCCTCGCACCATTCCTGTCAACCTCCGACTGCTCCTTTCTCCGACCGCTAGACCAGCTCTCCATCCCCATGATCACTCGCTTACATTGCCACAGATAGCGTTTGGCATCTCAGAGTAGACAGTCGGTTTCGACCAGGTCTGGTCACAGCAGTCAGCAGTCGCAACGCTGCCAGCAGTCTCTCCTCCTCTGATCCTCCTGAAATTACGTCCTTGTTCTCCTTCTCCTCTCCCATCCCATTACCGAAAACCCCCTCCTCCTCTTCCTCCTTCATCGCCTCCATCCCCATTCCCATCCCCATCCCCATCCCCATCCCCATCTCAATCACGGGAGTAACGGCAGGAGCAGGAGCCAATCCCGCCTGTAACTCACCCAACTCACGGTATCCAACAGCCAGACATCACAGCTTTCCTGCAGGAAACCACTCTTCCCGCCGAGCACCAGCAGCTGATTGTCAATCCTCTGCGCGCAGTGCCCTCCCCTAGGCAAGGAGTTCGGAACAGAATTTCCAATCTCAACCATCAATATCAGCACAACAACTCCTCAACTGCTCCCTCCCCCGCCGCCTCACCTTCGGAGCGGACCACGTCCACTTGTCGATGTTGAGAACGTGGACGTCACAGAGGTAGCAGGAATCATCTTCCATGTAGCAGTCAAAATCCTCGCTCTCCTCCCTCCCTGCGTCTCTCCTGCTCCTGCTCCTGCTCCTGCTCCTGCTCCTGCTCCCTGCTCCTGCTCCCTGCTCCTGCTCCTGCTCCTGCTCCCTGCTCCTGCTCCTGCTCCTGCTCCCTGCTCTTGCTCCTGCTCCTGCTCCTGCTCCTGCTCCTGCTCCCTCCCCCTCCTCTTCCTCCTCCTCCTTTTGCTCATTCCTTTCCTCCTCCTCCACTGCCACCTCTTCCTCCGTCTGGCTTCTCCCCTCTTCCCCCCCATGCCCCACCCTCTCCCCGTCCTTCTTCCCTCTTCATCCTCCCTCACCTCCTCATCCTCCCCCTTCCCTCCTTCCTCCTCCTCACCCTCACCTTGCCCGTCTGAGACGCTGTATCCTCCAAACACAAGCATGCTCCGACCAAACCTCGAGGCCGTGTGCGACATCCGACGGGAAGGAGCCTTCCCGCTTACCCTGGGCTTGTACCACTTCCACTGATCCATGTTGAGCACAACAGTATCGTTTTCACTTCCAACATATCAGCGAGGAGGGAGGAGGGCGGAGGTTTCAATTACCAGTCACCGTACTCGGAATATCCCCCAAAATGCACCCACTCTCGTCCGAAGGAACAAGACGAGTGGTGATACCTAGTGACTGAGGCGTTACCGCATGAGGCAGATGCTGCAGTGAAGGAGGGAAGCAAGAGGAAGGAAAGAGTAAGGGAGGGAGGGAGGGAGGGAGAGGGAGGGAAAGAGAGGGATGGATGGATGGATGGATGGAGGGCGGTTAACATTTGACCGTATCGAGGTGGGTGGGCAGGCCGGAGGAGCAAAGTATATGAAGTGGAGGGGGGGGGGGCGTAGCGGCGGAGGAAAGGCGGGGAAAAAGGCAGGGGAAGGAGGCAGGGGAAGGAGGCAGGGGAAGGAGGAAGGAGGAAGGAGGAAGGAGGAAGGAGGAAGGAGGAAGGAGGAAGGAGGAAGGAGGAAGGAAGGAGACGTGCTCCTCTCCTCACCTGCGGATGGGAAGCTCTCCAGTGAGGGGAGGATACGCCCACTCGAGCTTGTCCAGGTCGAACGTGAACACGTCGTTGGTCAACCCCTCTCTCCCCAGCCCCGCAAAGAAGACGAGAAATTTCCTGAAGGATGTTGCGGTATGCCCTTCCCTCCCCTCAGGTAGCCTCGTGTTGTGGTTGTTTACTGTCACCGTGCTCCACATCCATCGCCCCGTTCGTGGAGGATGGAGGTTCCCGATCTCCAGGGAGGTTAACTCGTTGCTGTGCCTTCCGGACACAAGGTCCCTCCCTCCAAACATGTACACCCTGCTATCATAAGACTTGTCTACTATCGTCAGCGTGTGTCCTGTCCTCGGGTTCGGCCGGACAATGCCCATACCCTGCTGAAACTTGAGATTGGGTTCAAACAAGAGGGAGGGAGGGGGCAGGGAGGGAGGCAGTGATGAAGGTAGGCAGAGGAGGAGAGGGAGAGGGAGAGGGAGGGAGGGAGGGAGGGAGACAGCCAGATAGGCAGGCAGGGAGGGAGGGTGGTGGGTGGGTGGGTGGCAAGAAGGGAGGGAGGGAGCATCGAGGGGAGGGAGGGAGGGAGGGAGGGAGGGAGGGAGGGAGGGAGGAATGCAGGGAGAATTTCAATTCAGCACAGTTGTTGCAGGCAACACAAGAGCAAGCGGTTGACCATGTTCGACTCTCTCACTCCCTCCTCACCTCTTCGCTCTTCCGCCATAGCAGCGAGTTGATCCTGTTCCCGCCTTCCCCCATCACACCTCCATTTGCAGACCTTGCCTCTACCTGTCTACCCCCCTCCCCCTACTCTGTTTTTTTCGATTGAGATACTAATAGAAAACTTCAATCCTCGTACCAAGCCGATCCAACCAGACGTGAGTTTAACGGCTGCAAGGCCTTTCTTTTCCGTCTTGGTCGATGCCGGGTTCCCGCCCGGCCAAGCCGGCTGCTACTAGCGGCGGCTCGGCCGGGCCCGGGCCCGGGGCCCCCGCTTCCGAAGTTCAAGGCTTCGATCGGACGGTCTGACAGCCGCAGCTCGGAGTGCCGGGTCCATCGCACTGAGGGGCGGCGGGCCCGGTTTCGGAGTTCGAGCCACGGCGGGCCGTGCAAGCGGCTCGGGCATGGCCGCCGCGCGCCCGGGATGATGCAGCCTGCGGGCCGCGGCCCCCCGGTGCCCCTCAGTCCCGGAAGGAATGAATCTCGTACCGGCGTGCCCGGCACCGGAACTTCCTCCCGGGAGTCCGGTCCTGCGGACTGCCAGTGGGCCGGCGCCGCCCGGGCCCGGGCCGGCGCCTTCGCGATCAGGCCCCGGCCGTCTGATCGGACTCCGGGATCATCGGATGGCAGGGCCGCATAGTAGCCTGGTTTTACTCTAGTACTACCGTACCGTATGAACTTCGGAACTTCCGAACTTCGGAACTTCCGAACTCGGCATTGATGACCGGATCTTCTTTACTCACTTGAAGGGCTATTAGTACTCTTTACTCAAAGTTAGTACTAGTATGCGGCTCCGAGGCTCGGTTTACTAAACTTTCCGAAGTCTCTCAGTTTACTAGTGGCCCTTTACAGCGGCTAGAAGAACCAGCTTGTCATCAGGTCATGATGCTGATCCGATCAGGTGCAAGTTGGATGGACCCGGCCTCATGGTAAGGCAGTGGGACTTCCGAACGTCTAACAGTCTTTGACCGGCGAAGGTCACTTAACATTGATAAGTAAAAATAGAACGGTACCAACTCGTGTCGGGATGGCCGACGGTCACGATTGCTACCGTAGTTTTAGAGTGAATGTGGTTCGGAACCTCTGCCGATGAAATATTTGAAATGATGGGATCAAACTTCAAAATTCACAACATAATATCCACTTTCAGTTCAAATGTTTTATGAGTCTCGGGGCGAAGCGTTCTTTACTACAACCTTTACAAATCTGGGGTTGAGTACCCCGTGGCCTCCCAGATCCACCCCTTCCTACCCGCGGCCACTGGTGGATTATAAGAGATTATCTCCTCAACCCCCCTTTTCCCTCTTCTTTCCCACACTTTTGTGTCTCACAAGGGGGTGGTCAGGCGTACGGTGGGGTGACCTTATCCATGTGGAGGGGTCCGTCGTCAAGCAGCATGGCTGACATCGACCTTCGGAACGCAGAAAGGACTCGAGGTAGGGTGGGATCAAGGAGAATGATCACATAACGGATAGGGAAAATGACGGGGTAGTAAGTCTGGAATGAACGGGTAGGTATTGTTCTATCCTTGATCTTCAACATGTGCCAGGGGGTGGGGTGGTGAGTGCTGATCTTGAGAAGTAAACTTCAGACCCTTTGATGTCAGCCCAGGGTTGCTGTAGGAAGGGGGTAGTACCCCTGGAGCAAAGCATTCCGCTGTCCACCCCCCCGGGGTACATGGTTAATTATTCTCCGAAATCACCCCGCACCAAATCGATAAATAGGGGGTGGGGTTGTGTCATCGACCCCTGTGACTTGAAACGACGTGTTCTCGGAACGTTTTGTGACTACCGGAAGAGGGTGAGGTGGAGAGGATGAGAAGGGGATAACAGTAATCCGGTCAGGCAGCAGACGGACACAGTCACGCGAACCAAACCTTAGAGCATCTGTCACCTATTCAAGATCTGCTCCTGCTTGCCTTATCACCTACCATCAACTTGATCAGCAAACAAACTCTATCTACAAACTCTCCTCCATCGTTCGTTTTCACCGTCAAATCTGATATTTGTCATGGTTTCATACGAAGAAAGGGAATCCTGCAAGAAGGTGCAGGCATGGCTTGCGAATGCCCAGGTCGATGCAGAAGAAATACAAGCTGCCTCTACTCAATCTAGCCTGGTTGGCAACCGTAGGCGAATTCTCCTTGCTCCCCCCGAGGAGCCCCCAGCGGAGCAGGAAACCGCGCCTGCTCCCAACATGTTAGACATGTTTACGTCGGTACTTACCCTGGCTCCAAGAGCGCCGGAGTCACCACATTCCTTGCAAGAGCCACCGTGCGTCCCGCCATCGCCTGCAAATAGCAATGTCTCTTCCTCGTCCTTTCAGCAGCTGGGGGAGGCGCTCTCGGGGCTGAGCGAGCACGTCTTGCAATCAGGCATTCTGAGGTCAGGATTCAACTCTCTCTTTGAGAAACCGAGCACGCCAGACAACACGAAACAGATGCTCGCTCGCAGCATCGACGTCGCACACTTCAATGCAGCTCAACAGAGGCGAAGGTCGACTTGCTCCATGCCGTCTTCAACAAGACCTGGGACAAGAAATGGGACAACAACCAAGCGTCTTAGTCGATGTAATTAGGAAGTCTATATAGATTGTACATCAAAACTATATGTAAAGCAATCAATGGCGATCATAACAAGAATCTTCAAATTTAAGCTCAAATACCAAGATTCCTGATTTCAAATCTAGACTGATGTCTAAGAGCACCGGCAGCTCGAAACTACATGTTCGGGCTGAGTTTGCCATAGGTCAGTGAACCCTGTAGCAGTTTCTGCTTTTGTTTTGGGGACAGCAGTTCGCAGGATTGGGGTTGGTTCTCCGAGGCTGTCTTTTCAAGTTGCCTTCCGAACTTCAGGCTCACCGTTTGGCCTCAGTGCGACAGGCCGCCGGCCGCACATTCTGTAGTTTTTTGGCTGAGAGCCTCGGAGTGTCCGTCAGCCGGGTACGGTCACTGTCAAGCCGCCTTCTCGACTCTCTGACGTATGAGCTCGAGTCAGACTCAGCATATAAGAGACTCCCGTCTCTTGCAGTCACTGCCTCTCATTCAATGCCAGCCCGCCCGGCGCCGGTGGGTTTAGCGCCGGGCTGACTGGCTCCGAGGCTCGGAGTGAGGCTCAGCGAGTGATAGCGGCATCGGCGGCCCGCCTGAGCACGTCACTGAGTCACGGTCGGAGGCGAGTCACGGGCCGAGGGCCCGGCGGCGTCACCCGGTGACCGCGCCGGGCGGCCCCCGCGGCCCGGGGCGGCCCGGCCGCCGGGGCCGCCGCCGCCGCCGTGCCGGGCGGCCGGGCCCGCCGGGCCCAGCCCCGGGGGCCCCCGGCAGTGCCAGTGCCGCCACGGCGGCCGCCGCGGCCGGGCGGCGCCGGGCGGCCCGCCCGGAGCCTCCTCAGGCTCGGACTCGGCCCGCCGGAGGGCCTGTCCGACCGCGGCGGGCCCGCGGGCTGGGCCGCCGCCGGCCCCGGTGCGGCGCCCCGACCGGGTGTGTACGGTACTACCGTCACCAACTGAGTCGGGCCCCGCCGAACTTCGGAACTTCCACGGCACATTCGGCCGCAGTCACGTAGTACGGAGTACCGTCATGGCATCAAGTTCCGATTGAATAAATCAACTCATGATTAGTCAATTTGTGTCACTATAGTGTTTTTAACTTAACTTTGTTTTTAAAGATTTGGAGAGAACCCCTTGACCGGGTTCCATAGTCAACACGGCACCGCCTATAGTCAAGTGAGGGCTTGATGGCCCCCTCCATGCTGGTGGGAAGTTGGCTTGGAGGTGAGAGGCGGAACCTGGTCGTGGGTACGCTCTTGGCATGCATGCTAGCCGACGTGAAAGATGCTCATGGAGTCGCAAGCGTCATGCCCTTAAGTCGAGCGAGCGAGGCCCGTCCTCTGGTACAACCCACCTTGGTTCGAGAGGGTCTGCAAAAATTTGTCACGTTTGTGTTGCCGCTGTCAGAGCGCGCATGGATTGAGCGCCCTGACGTATCGTGCTGTTCTTCAAGTCCTACCACGTCAAATGTGCAGTTCACAAAGAAAGTGAAGCTCGAAAATGTAGTGAGAGTGCGAAGAAACCAGGTTCACGATGTCGCTTTCCACGGAACGAGCAGGCGAATGCCAAAGCGCAGTGAAAACTCACCTGAGAGTCAGATAACAAACCAGTACACTGGACGACATTATGATGAAAAGGTAAGAATATGCACTATGAGTCGTTGATGTGTAACATTACCTTGCCTGTCTTCTCTTCGTTGCAACTTCTTGATTGAAATCTACAATTTCAGGACTTGGTGGAAGAGGAGAATGCTGGAGGCGACATTGATATCATAGAGTTATCTGAAGATGATTATGAGATCATCAGCCATGCAGGCTCAATACCGAAGAGGAAGGGAAAAGGAGCTCTGGCAAAGACGATTGCAGGCTCTGGCGATCGTTCGATCACTGACGGGGGTGTGTGAAGTGGTTCGTTGTTCTTTCTCCCGGTTGTGACGAGTTTGTCAGGGAATGACGATCTTCACTGCATGACGGTCGTTCAACTCAAGGAAATCTGCCGATCGCAGAAACTGAAGCTAACGGTAAGCTCCGCTGCTCAGTGTGCTCTCCTGTGATGTTGGCCGTTGAAATGAAGGGGAAGAAACAAGAGTTGATAGACAGGATTCGGGGAAATTCGCAGCAAGCACAAGAAGTTGTGAACAATGCAAGGTAACCGAGGAGGAACAGGTGGGCGGAAGCAACCGTCGAGCTGGTCTCATTTGTAATACAATTTTTTTCATGACAAATTAAGTGCTTCGAATGAAGATTGGACACAACTGATTTTCGAAAATCACTCACTCACCTGTTCTATGGTTGACTTGATGCAACATCCATATATGGAATTGAGATGATACCACTCAAGTGAATTCGGTGCATACAAACACTCAAAACTTTATATTCACACAAACTAACACAAAAATCAACGTTGGAAATCTTTCACCAAAATCAACGCCTGAAGAATGAAAACTTAAGAGAAGAATCTCTTGTACCCAAAGAGATTCGATTAACAAGACGCAGTACAACTTTCTTCCATCTTCGAGAGGTCGAGACGGTATTCGGCTAGTTTTCGCTCGCATTTTGCAATCTTCTCCGTCAGGTACAACTTCTCGACTTGACGTTCTTGGGCAGACAGCATCTTATACTCACTCAGTTTCTTCTCATCCACCATCGCTCCATGTTGCGCTTCTCCTGATTCTAAAAGTGAAAGGAGATTGCGATATTTTGCAAGTTTCTCCTGTCGTTCCTCGATCTTGCCAAGTATTTTCAATCGCTTGTCTTTCGATTCTTTGCGTTTAGTCGGTTGCAGCTGTAATGATTCGACCTTCTGCTCGTCTACCATCAAGTTGTTTAGATGCATTGCCTCTGGAAGTTTGCCTGACATTATATCCTTCATTTGGGCTAACGCAGCTTCCTTTTCATCGTCACGCAAACCTTGAAACATCGCAACAACTGTATCAGGCCTGGCTTGCAACCTTGTCGGACATGTCTTGCAGAGCTTGTCAAACTGCTTGGTGAACCTCTCTACAGACTTTCCTCGACCTTATCGAGCGCACACCGCAGCTGATCTACATGATGAACACGTTCTGTCTTGATCGCAAAGGTGGGCCGAGAGCATGTAACCCACTGCTTCTGCGATAGAGCTGAGAGTCTTGTCGCTGGGGAGACGACGAAAGCTGTTGTGAGCTGCAACCTTGATCCTCTTCCAACCAGCTCTCTCGTTCCACCCACTCCTCCTTCCGCCGCCACTGCCGCCACCACCAGCCATAGGGTTGAGACGAGCACAGCCATTTGCCGCTTCTGCATTCAACTATACCCCACCCCCTGTTTCATGTTTGCGCTTTTCGGACCCTTAGTTTATTTATGTACTACCCTACCTTTTACCAGTCATTTAGTATCACTTCATACGCTTACCCCCTCCCTGGAGAACATTCCTACCCATATTTTTTACACAAGCCACTGCTCAGTGCCTAGTGCCTGACCGTTCACGGTTGTCACCGTGGCACCGTGGCATGACCCGGGCCCGGCGGGTCCGAGTCACGCCCGATCTCCGGGGCCCGGCCCGCTGCCCCGTGCGGCAGTGCGGCAGGCCTTACTAGTTACCGCCGCCGCTGGGCAGGCATCCAGGCTTGCGGCGCGGGCGAATCAAGCCCGCCGCCGCGGCGGACTCGAGCCCGCCGGGCCGCCCGGGCTGACTCGTGCCGGCGCGGGGCGGCGCAGCCGCCGCCGGCCTCCGTCGGAGGCCGGCGCGGCCGGGCTGCAGTCACTGGCACTGAGTGCCAGGATCATCGATCCGATGATCGGCCGCGGGCCGCGACTCAGGCCCTCAGACAGGCTCCGGCGGGCCCAAGCTGCACACGGCACGGTCACTCTGACTGTCACGGTGCCACAGGCTGGCACGGCCACCGTGACGACGCCCGGCCGGGCCCGCCGCGGGCCCCCGGCGGGTCACTTACTGAGTGGCAGATCACAGGCTGAGTCATGCGATAGCCGGTACGGTAGACGAAGTCATCTGAAGCATTATGGTTCTACAGCATAATCTGAGACCCCCTTGGGATCCTGACGTGGCATCCTTCATCAGGATGCCAAAGTTCCTTCCAACATCTTCTTCGGCGACGTCCCTCTTCTTCTTCAAGTAAGCTAATCATTCATTTCATCACGTTCTTGACTGCCTCCTCTCCCTCTCCCTCGCCCTCACCATCTCCCTCTCCCTCTCCCTCTCTCCCTCCCTTCCTCTCTTTCCTTTCCTCGTCCACTCCCTCTTCTTGCTTGTTCTCTCCGTCTCCGTCTCCGTCTAACTGCACCATTTTCCTGGTTATCTACCTTTATCCTGCCCCGTTTCCCTTCCTCTCTACCCCCGCCTCCCTCTCTCTCCCCCTCTCCTTCTTCTTTCCCTCCTTCCCTCCCTCGTTCTCACCTCTGAACTTCCTCCCCCCGCTTCCCCCTCTCTCACCTTGCTCTGATTCCCTGGTTAATTCACTTTTCACTGTCCCCTCCCTCTCCCCACCACCCTCC